AAAAAAAAAAAAAAAAAAGGGAGGAGGGAGGGGGAAGGGAGACGGAGAGAGAAGAGGGGAAAGTTTTTTTTTATTATTCTTTCTTGGTGTGCTCTCTATTACTCAGAATTTCAAATTTAGACATGCTAGATTCAGTGATCTGGGCCCAAAGAGAACCATTTCTGCCATCACTACAAACCTTGGAAACCCTTAGGTTTAAGATTCCCCCAGCAGAGGATCTGAGTCTTGGTCTCGCCACATTGAGCTCTGCCCACACACATTAATTCGGATGCATAAGAGCACAAAAGAAAGTACAGAACCCATTCTTTCATTAATGGGTTTATTCATTAGGAAAAGAAGAAAAGAATAAATGCTGCCAATGAGAATAGCCAATTTTCAAGAAATTAAAAGACATTTTTGCTAGAATGCGCTTAAAGTTTAAATAACGAGCAATAAATGATTCTAAATCAATAAGTTCTAAACTATGTGCAGTGGGACCTGGATGTTTTGCTAAGGCATCTCTCAGGGCCAGCTCTGAAATTAGTAACTCTCTCTCACTGGCTGAATGTTAACCTGTAAAGGAATGGATGAAGAGAGCGCGCAGGCAAGGTCCTGACTCTGAAGCAGATGCACCTAACGATATAATCAGCTCTGGGTCAGGTGTGACCTCTGTCAAGTCACATCCTACCCCTGACTTCTACTTTCTGTCCAGTGAGATTTGAGGTGATGATCAACAGATCTAGAATTCTTAGTCCCCTACATGAATTGTATTCTCTTCAATGTTTACTTCCAACAAGAAAAATCTTTAGGATTACCTTAGTACAACTGTCTGAAATTTGGTATGTAATTTCTCAGTGACAAAGTCCTAGCTGTTGTAGGATAAATGTGATTTGGGGAACTGACAAAAGACATTCACACATTCCAAACCAGGCATTTCATTCATTTCACCCAAGTGCTTTGTGAGTGCTTCTAAGAGGTGGGTACTTGTGCAGGTAAGACAAAAATGAATAGGCCAAAATTTCTTTTCTTCTCTAGGGGCTCCCAGTCCTGGGATAAGCTGGTAAAATGCACTACAAGTGGATTTCATGTGTGATATGTAGATGTCCTCTAGGTCTAGCCATTCTGACTGGAGATGATTCAATGAGCCATAGATCAGAGAAGTCAGTAGAGGACTTGGAAACAGGGAGACCTCTCTCCCCATCTACTATTTTGAAGGGTTTCTGACATTCTCTCAGAGATCATAAGATCTGAATCTGTAAGCAGTCTCTTCTCCCGTTCCTACCCCTTTAGTAAGTGCTAAGGACCTTCAATTCCCAGAGCCGCTCAGTAGCTGGCTAGTTGATAATAGAAGGTTGTTTATAAGCATTTCTATAAAATAAATTACAGAATTTGTATAAGGCAGCCCTATGGATAAGGAATCACCTGTACTGAGTGTCCGGTATATGTTAATACCTAGTGAGAGTTCAAAAGGTGGCAGCTCTTTTTATTATCAGACCTACAGGGAGGACATTAGTCATGGTATTGCCTAACTAAAGCTGACCCAAAAAGTCTTCTGGTGTTAGAAGAAATCACTGTTGAGCTGAACAGAGGCTTACAAATGGGTCCATGGTGGGTATGTAGCTCTGATGAGGAACCATACTTGGAAGAAGTTCGTTAAGGCTGAGCCAGCAGCCTTGCCAGACCAGGTGATGGAGGCAAAGTCTAAACTCAGTTTAGGAGAGAAATTTTCATTGCTTCAGGCCAAAGAGGGTCTCATTGTTTGATATGATAAAATTATAAGAAGGTGAATGGATGAGAGATGGTTTCCCATTGGCTTACATGATGGAACAATATTTGGAAAACCACATAATCACAAGGTGTGGGGATGGATTTTCTGAATAAATTTTCATCCCTGCCTTTTCTGACATGTGAGGGATCAATATTGTCTGAACCCAGCTGATGTGATTTGTTGGTGGCTGCTGTATTGTAAAGGTTATTGGAGAGCATGTGTTTTTAAGAAAAAGAAATCATTTTCATTGAGCTATTCTGATAATATGATGTCTCATACCGATATTCCTTGTTTAACAACTGTTTGGGCCTACAACTGAGGCGTGCAGTTCAGACTTAACAACCCTCTCTGGGACTTATGACCCCCCCCCCTTTTTTTGGTACAGTTCTGTCCATTTTGTTTATAGAGCCCTAATGTATTTTTTTACAGTATAACTTGTTTATACAGTAGTATAATTTTTGCTGGCAGTACTATACAGCAGTATAATTTTGTTATACATTACAATGTTCCATGTAAGAGTTATGCAAATAAAAACAAAAAGTTATCAAGTTGGACTTTCCTTTGACCATTTCTTTGTTCTGAATATTGTAAAGTACCTGCTATATAAAGTTCCTTATTTAGCAGCCAACTCATTTAATGATCTAGTCACAGAATCAGAACTCAGTTGTTAAGAGTGTCTGTATAACCTCTAAGGTATTTTCTCAACATTACCTGCTACTGCTTTAGTTAGATGGTATTACTGAGCCTGAACTTAGGTAGAAATATGCTGTACAAAGCACCACGGGACTTGTAAACAGCAAGTCTCCTACTGTTGTCTGGGATCATAAAAGTACAATCTTTATAGATTAGGAGGATCCATAAGGGGTCTATTATGGCCTCCCATTTGCTACTCACTGGGGGTAAATGGAAACTAAGTAATCTAACCCAAGAACAAGAGTAACTAGCTGGGTTTCAGAAGTATAATGATTAGCAAGCAGATACTGAGACTTCCTCTTCTCCATTAACTCCTAAGGTACTTAGCCCCTCTACCAAAGTTTGCTTTACCCAGAAAAGAAAAGCAACCTCATCCTTTGAAATCTTTCAAACACTTGCTGAAACCATAGTGCATTCATTGTCCTGGAGGAACGGGGATATACTGAGATTAGAATCACTGCCCAGGAAGTCTGAGAATAGATGATTTCATTTCTAAACTTCAATCTCAGATGGGGAAAAGGTCAGGTAGGAAGGGACTGAACAAAAGGTAAGGAGAAAATGAAATACGGGTGGGAGTGGGGAGAAGGCTGAGAAAGGAAGGAAGAAGGGGAGCACCCTGCCAGGAGCTGGGCCTGGCCTCTGCAGTTAGACCACAGCTTCCCTCCCAAAGTCACTACGAGTGCAACTTTGAGTTAGATGCTTGGAGTCTGTTCAAGTCTCAGATTGCTCACCTATAGGATAACAATTACCAATGAAAAATAATGATTATTTTGAGGTCCTTGAAGATATCTGTGGTCCGACCCCTGTAACAGTACAGCTGAAAAGCACAGTACACCACAGTAGAGAGGCGACTGAAAGGAAGTGGCCTCACTGGTGATAACATTAAGAGGACAAGTGATCTTATTAAATGTAAGTAAACTCAAAACATAAACATGTTCCCAATACTGACATTGTGAATTACAGTATTTCTCTAGCACTAGTTTGAGGTACTGACTTGTGGAACTGTGCAATGTATGACTGAGTTCCTACACTGGAAGCTGTTCTCAAAATTCACTGGCCTGAGGTAAAATAAAAAGTAAGAAAACAGAGCAGTAAAAATTTTTTCAAATATATCAATATATAAAGATATGCAACAATGATTCTTAAAATTCAAATTAAAACAAGACCAGAATATTTACATGTTTATTAAATCTTTACAATCAATAATTATAATCAAATACACAATTATATACAAGGATTATATACATTTTGCCCAGACTTTTACATCACAGTACATAGTTTCCCTTAGAAATATTGTATACATTTATCACCAAACAATAAAACCCAACAACAGTAGTGTTACAGCACCTGTTAGTACAGACATCTTTTTCATAAATTACATCATAAGAAAATATACGGCTGTAAATTGGGCTTTTAAAAATCTTTTATAAAATCTGAACATACAATGTTTCATTCACAGAATGTTTTTTTCTATGTTCTGACTGAAGCCTTGTGCATAAAACGACCAGTTGAAATATTTACTAAATTCTACCCACCCCCACTCCGTAAAATTATAAGCACTATTTGAATTACTTATGCTGAGCTTTCTTTATGATGAATTTGGCATGGGGTTTGGTGACAGAACAAATGCTGGCTTTGCTATAAAAAGAGTTGTGTGATGGTAATTTAAATCTAAAAAAAAATTCTTGAGAGAGTAACTATATTAGAGAAATTAAAATCAAAGAGTGCACAATTTTTCATTTTAAAAAATCTCTAAACTTGTGAAGAAAAAAGGAAAAGTAAAATCACAAAATAATCTGTTCTGAAACAATTACGTTCTTCTTAGAAGCCAATTACAGGTTAAAGAAAAACTCACCCAACTAAATATCCCACCCCAAACATATCTAGTAATTTGTAATTCTTTCACACTTAAAACTTTATGGGAAAAGTATTGCAAATTAGAGCACATCATTTCAATGGACTTTTATATGCAAAATAACTATAGCTATTTTATTTTTAGTAGATAAACAAATTAAATTTTAAAATTGGAAAATACCTGAATTAAACACTTGTTTTCATATCTTTTAACTTTCAGCTAAAATTTTTACTTGACTCCAGGTTTGTAAACATTGTATAAATCTTTCTTAGTCAAACAATTTTATGGCTGTGGTGATCCTTTCAGCTCCATTTCTAAGCAGTCAACATTTAACTGAGGTAGACCAGATGTTTCTAAATTCAGGGTCTCACAGAATCCCCTGAATCTTTAGCAAGCAAATAAAATATCTATGAACGGTATTTAACAAAACATTTAAAAAAATCTAAATAATGCTGCTGGATTTTTTAATGAACTCAAAAACTACTTCATCACAGTATAATGATGGTATTTTGAAGCTGAACTTATATCTTCTTTTTTAAGTAGGGAAAACCAGTATAATTTCTTCTTGGGTGTTAAGTATAACTAAATTTTTTTTCTTTTTAAAAAAGGGTCTAGTTTTCTAAACAAGTGAATGATATGCTTCTAAATCTCAGTGAAGGACAATGGCTCCCTCTAATGGCCAAAGGAAGGGAGAGTGGCAGTAAGCTGGCTTTTCCTAGTGTGTCACAGGATTCTTTGTGCCATTAAGTTCTCCTTGTTGGAAAAAAAATTATGTTGTTTAGATAACTTAGAAGAGTTACATTTAGACAACAATGGCTTTGAGCTACAAATACAAAATCAAATTGATGTACATAAGGCTTCTGTAATCAAAGTCTTACAGGAACATCTGCTCCTTTTCTCCAAGCCCCAGTCCTATCAATCAAGGCAAGTCAAGTAACTAAGCTTCAGCTATTTTGGCAGCTTTCCAATTAAAATGAACAGCACTATGTCTATCCTTCTGTACGGCGTATGTATTATAGTTCTATCTTTTTACCTCAAATTTCACATGCAAAGAGACTAAAAATATCCATTTTGGTGTCAGGTTTAATTAAGGGCCAATAAAGGCCTTCCTATACTACTATTTTTTCCCTTCCCCAAGGCAAATTTTCTATTAGATTTATTACTCACTGACCCAATTATGTTTAGCTGGAATTTTTGAAGTAGGTAGTTATTCCCTTATAAAAGATTATTTACTTGGGATCTAAGACATACTGTACATAAATATACATAACTACAACACAGCATTGCTGTTCTTTAACAACTCCATATGTAAGTTATTCAGTACCTCAAAACCATGTTTTAGGAACAGGTTATTGTGTAATGTCACGGTAAAAAGAAAGGAAATTAAGTTTCTCAAATATTCCTTTGGAACTGATTAACATAGGTTTAAAAAATAAGTAAAATGAGCAAAAACCATGATTTCAAATCCAGGCTAACAATAAACATTTTAAAATTTAAATGTGGCCAGCATTAGACTGCCACTAAAAAGAGAAAAAGGGAAAAAATTTTCATTAAGCTACATAGCTATATGTAATTCCTACTATGTAAATGTTTTGCACAGGTCAGGGCAGACTAATGTTCAATTCCGTATCATAAGGAATATTTGTTAAAACAAAACAAGAATAAACCCAAAACTCATGATTCAACAGAAAATATGACAGACTTATTAGGTGTAACTTTAGAAACCAAAGTTTCAAAGTAGAGAAACAGTAGTTACTTAAGAAATTTTAGATCACTACCATAATTTTATCATGGCTTCATAAGACAGAAAAATGGAACAAAATATATTCAGCTGTTGGCGATATGGGCCTTTTGGCTCAAATTGCATACTAAACATGGTATGGAGTAAGGCTGATGGCTAGAGGTAACCACCTCTCAGAGAAATGAACTGGAAGAGATTTATAATCTACCTCACTAGGATATATGCTGTTTCATTTCAGAGTAGTTCCAGCTTTCCTTAATGGAAGGCCCAATGGGAAGTTCATATTGCAACATTATAGTTTCTCCCTTGCTCCATTTATCAAAAGTAAGCAATTTTCAGAATAAGACCTTTTTACTTGGTCTCACTGATTAGTCTTTATGTAGAAAACTCACTGAGAAAGTACACTGGCTTCACCTTTAGTTTAAATAAAGAAGGCATGGTTAGGAGGGGGGAAAAAAATCAAGTCATCTTGAATATCTGTTGTTGAATGAAGCAAGTGATGAGCAAAAAACTGTTACCATGAGTGTGTTTGCTTCATAACCACTTAGGCCACTCAGAGTGTTTTTTGTGAAGGCAGCATAATCTGAATGCCACAATACCCTATGTATCTTCCCCCAAAAGCCTCAACACAAATCAGGAAAGTTGAGCTTTCTTTAATTAGAAAGCTACAAACTCTGATTCTTTACTCCACTAACTGAATTGGTTTTTTGTCTATCCAGAGACAGTAGAAATACAGTTCCTAGGAATTCCCAGTTGTCTTTCCCTGGCCAGGCATGCTGCAAGTTGCGCAATGCTGTCATTTGAGGGGGGAATTAAGAGTTTCCACTTTTGATGGGACAGTCTAACCAAGGTCAATTTTAATGCAGCATGCTCCAGATTCCTATGATAATTACCTATGCCAGTCAGACCCTGGTTGCTCATCACCATACTTAAAGCCCCTTAGAGAGCCTGCTTAGTATTAGGGTGTCTATAACCACAGTTTACCTTTTCTTTTTAAATACCTACCACCACATTCTTCAGTGAGTCATAGTTCATCCTTCTCCATCATTTCAAATGCCTCTATATCTTCATTCCAGTCTGCTAATATGGAGTCTATAGGCTGGACCTTTTTACCCCAGCTAACATTAGGATTGGAGTCTTCCTCAGTTTCTGACTGTTCTTGAGGTTGGTTATCTAGATCTGTACATTCACCATCCAGACTGGTAGGCTCCTGGTTTTCCATGGGATTCAAAGTCTGTTCAGCAGGAGAAATGCTTGCAGCATTGTCAGTATCTGCTGGTGATGAGTCTGAGTGAGAGCTTAGGGAACTTTCCTCAGGAGCCTCTTGATCAACCAAATCAACTGCCTGAGAAATTGATATAATCTGTTCAGCACTTTGATTCTGAGAATCATTTTCAGAGGATGGCTGTTCTTCATTTTCCATTTCAGGATCTGCATAAGAAAGAAACAAACTTCATGCTATTTTCCTCTCAAAAAATTTTACTAGTACAATTACAAAGTCATACTGGTTTTCACAATACAATTGAGAAATAAAATGTTGAAGATCATCATATTAATGCAGAATAGTGAAATGAGTAGAAAATGATCTGTCTTTTACTAATGTAACATTTCCTATATCTGTTTTGCAAAATGGGTCAGTGTTAGAAAATAAATGCTTCAAATTAGAAGGAAGGACTAATCACTGATGAAATAGGTTTTAATGAATATTAGTAGATGCCAAGAAATATATTAAACAATAATATTAAAATGCATAAAAATGTGTAATTTGTGACTAAAATTCATTAAATATTTAAGTTCAGGAAAGCGTGCATATGAGAGTATATTAAATAGAATAGTACATAGCACATATCAGTGCTCTGGAAAAGTGAAATTATCACTCAGTAAGCCATGAATACTCAGATAACAAGGTTTCAGGTGATTATGGGTATTAATGTGATTAATCAAAACATTTTCAAAAAACAATTGAGATTATTTATAGATATTCTATTATTTTATGTCTATGAATTCTGAAACATAAAATTCTAAAATCCACTAGAAAGCTAAAGAGTAGGATAAACCTCTTCTAATGAGTGTCCAATGAAACCATTTTATTTAGGGTTCCTCTGTACTTAAATAGCACTGACACCCACATGGTACACCCTGCTCAAGCTCAGTCTCAGCCTCTCTCTTGCAGTGCACGGTGCTAACAAGAAAATGAAGAGCAAAAACAGAAACGATACTTGCCCTTATGCACCTTTTAGTCCAACTCTAGAAAAAGATACTCTATCTACAAATATTCACACAAAATAAATAGAAAAATCCAACTGTGACACGTTTTGAAAGAGAGGTATGTGGTGTTAGGAAGGTATATATACATATATTTTTAAAATTTCCTTTATATATATTATAAATTTCATATATATGTGTATGTAGATGAATATATATGAAATTTAAAGGGTTCTTACAAAGTCTGAACTAGGACTTAAAGCATAAGTAGTCTTTCAGTCAAAGGAGGGAAAATGGACCTCTTGTGAAACCAGAAACACTAGAGGAAATGTGGGCATACAGGAAGATACTGGTGGATAGGTGTGTATTCAACCTGCTCAGGTAGGATCACTTGACTAGGGAAGTTTATATTCTTAGGTTTTGGGGCAGGGGGTGTAGGTTGAAAAGCTGAGGAGTCCTCACACATCTCTGTTTCTGAGCTGTGGAAGAGGTATAATTTAACTAGATAGGGGAACCATGCTGGACCCGAAGAAAGTAGGGAGCTAGCTGCTGAGAGAATATTTGTGCTAGCTACTGTAAGTTCCAAGAAAAAAAAAACCTTCAAGTTTCTTTGTGGATGATATTGTTCTAATTTAGAAGGATGGGTTGTTCTGTCTAGTGATGAAGATGGTGCTTATGACTAAAAACACCTCTAAAGTTACATATAACACAATATTATTTTTGGAAATCTAACAAATGGAATAGGGTCAGAAAATAGAACAATTTGTAAATAAGGAAAAAAGTATCTAATTATATGTATTCAAAGATTGTGATTGTAGACTAAAACTCAAAGCAATTCTAATTTTAAAAATACTATTAAAATTAATAAAGGAATTTGGTAAGGAGGATTAAAATAACTGAATACCAATAACTCCTCTGTAGTGGCAATAATAGCTAAAAATAAAACCATACATTCTTTTCATAATAAAAAAAGCTATAAAACACAGAATTAAATTCATTATGAGAGGCATAAGGCTCATACTGCTTTATACCATGCAATCATTATAAAAACACAGAACAAGATCTGATTAAATTTATTAGTATATTCTTGGATAGACAGTCAATATTTAACATTACTCAAATTTATACATAAAGTATGTAATTATATACTAATTTCAAAATGAATCTCACTTATACTTCTTTCTGTTTTGGAACCAAATAAAATTATCTTCAATTTTCTGTTAAAAAATGTATGTCAAAAAAAAGTAAAGAAATTTTTTTTTTTTTTGGTACTGGGGATCAAACTCGGGACCTTGCGCTTGTGAGGCAGGCGCCGGAACCACTGAGCTAAATCCCCGGCCCCTAAAGTAAAGAAATTTTTTAAAGAACCAACACTATGTAAAACCTACACATCATTCTCAGTCTTGTATCGATCACTTTACCCTGACTTATCTAGCGCTCAACTTATCAATTTGTTTCTGATCTCACTGCCAACTTTATGAATATGTTTTCCATATAAAACCTTGCCACACGTCACTTCTGAGGCTATTCCTCCCAACGAGCAATTTATATATCTGCTCTAGTTATACATTTTAGAACTCTTCAGCAGAGATACACACTTCCAAAAAAGCAAGATCAAGCTCAATGAAAAACAGGAAAATATACTAAGTAAAGTAAGGGAGAAACATACTCTTTTATCTTGCTGAAAGAAATGTGAATTGTTACTACAACGTGCAACATTTATCAAGACTGAAAGATCCATACCCTTTCTGACAGCATTCCATTTTAGCAAATCTCAAAATTCTAGACAAGTATTAACATGTAAGAAGACATGGGACAATTTCTACACCATTGTATATAGTGACAAAACAAAATAAAAAATGTGGAAATAATATGGATGGTCAATAATGAAATAAATTATGATAGTTATGCAATAAAATGTAATGGAGCTTTTAAAAGAGTAAGTTCTGCTATGCAAACAGCATGGAAGAATATTCTTAAACTATAAGAAGCAACTTGCTTAATGATATTTATAGTATATCCCATTACTGTGAAAAGAAAAAAAAAATCTGTAATTTTGAAATGTATAAAGCCCAAAGGAACATATAGAGGGTTATATACTAAACTGTTAATGTTGGTTAGTTATCTCAGGAAAATGAGAGATTATTTAAAAACATTTAGTATGCCTCTAAAAGAACTTGTTAGAAGTTTACATTTGAAATTTTTAAAAAATAAGGCTTTTCAAAAGATATCAATAACCACTCTATAAGGCACTAAAGGAAAGTCACCAAAGGCCAAGTAATTCAAAGACAGAGAGAGAGAGAGAGAGAGAGACAGACAGAAACAGGCAGAGACAGAGACAGAGATTTAAGACATCCAGAGAAATAAATATTTTGGTTTTTTACAAGCTTTTGGAACTACAAGACAAGAACTAAAAGCAGCAATGAGGAAACTAAAAATGGCAGTCAGAGAAGCACAAAAAGATACAAAGAAGTTTAAGTCTGCCATACTGTTATAAATCTCCATTCTAAGGTACCTGTTTTCACCAGTCTATGAGATCACAGTCTTAGGAGCCTAACCACTACAACTTTCAATTCTGAAATGGTGCACCAGAAACAAAGAAAGAATGGAGAAAATCTTAAGATACAAAGAAAATAAAATCAGTAAGTGTTACTAAGAAAGGGGGAAGGGAAACTTGGCAAACACTTAAAAGACTGGATATTCTACAATCATTCATTCATTCATCTATACATTCAGTGTTTACAGAAAGCAAGAAATAGAACTATATAATGGAATATGAGTATCACAGAACTCCATTAAAAAGATACCTTTACATTTTATTAGGAGAATAAGAGAAAACTTCATACAGAAGGTGGCATTTAACTGAGTATTTAAAATGGCTAAACATTCTCTAAGGTCGAGGATAGGAATTGGTAAGGCATTTCCAGAAAGAAGGAGGAGATGGGCAAATGTGAATGCAAATGCAAAAACATGCTGTGGTGAGAGAAGGGTGGGTAGGTTAGCATCAGTTCTGTGGACAAGAATGTTTAGGATGTTCCTCTCTGGGCAAAGAGCCCATCTGCCTATAGACTAGATTTTTCTCTTTGGAATCAGAAACTTAACAATAACCTATGCTCTACAGTTCAACTCTAGGATGGATTCATCCCAACCAACTTCAGTATTGATCTTAGGAAAACTGACACTGCCTGACTTTAATCAAGAACAGTTCATAGGATGGGATTTTTAAAAAAATCTTCTCTCCCATTTTCTTTGTCTTCCTCTTTTCCAGGTAGTCACAAATACAAAAGTAGCCTGGAAAACTTGTCCATAAAGCACTACAGGCTCACACTGTATTCATAAGTTGCAAGCATGACAATGTATTGGAATTTTATAATGATGTATTTCCCCTTGAAAAATATTATCAAGAAGGGGAAACTGATTCTTAATTGTAAACTACTTTGATTTGGATTTACAAGTAACAATGCAGTGACTTTTGTTTGTTAGCAGAGGCTTGGAATTATTAAGCGTCTTTATGAATTGAACTTTTGGAAAGATAAGACACAAAATTAAAAGTTTGAATAACAAATTGTGGAAAACTTAACTTTTAGAAGTGTCACTGATTCGACCTATGGAAGCAGTATCTCTACTTGATAAATTCCTGATTTAGCTTCTTAAGGAGAATGTGTATTATCTGTTGCTACCAGGTAGGACAAAATGGAAATGGGAATTTGGGGGCTTCTGTTTTCTGTATTAAAATACAGTAAATGTATAAAGAACTTCACAATCACATAGTATAACTTTATAAAGAAAAATATTTATTTGTAGAATGAGGATTTTGCTAAGGATAATCGGGAGGATATTTTATTGTTTGAGTTTTAAAGCTTTTATTATTTGGTTTACTTATGTAATCCTAACTGGGATACATAATGGCACAATATGGCCAGATACACGGGGGGAGGCAGAAAAGAGCTGCCTGCAGGGGCTCATTCAGTGTTTCTCAAAGTGAGCTGAGAAACCAGATATATCTGACCACCTGGAGAGTGTGTTTAAAATGTCAGATTCTGACCCCTGCTTCAGAGGGTCTGATTCAATACTGCAGAGCAGAACACAGCAACCTGTATTCTTTTTTTTTTTTTTTTTTGTACCAGGGATCGAACTTGGGACCTTGCACTTGCAAGGCACGAGGCAAAATCATTGAGCTAAATCCCTGGCCCCGCAGCCTGTATTCTTTTTTTTTTTTTGGTACCGGGGATCAAACACGGGTCCTTGTACTTGCGCAGCAGGCAGCGAAACCACTGAGCTAAATCCCCGGCCCCAACAGCCTGTATTCTTAATAAGTACATCAGCTGATTCTGATACCAAGGAAAAACACTGATGTTTGTGATAATGGTAGATTACAAGTTAATGATAACCAAACCACTATAGACTTTATCTTCTTAGAATATTATCCTAAGTGAATAATAAAAATTGATTTTGTTCAACTATTATCACTGATTTTTGTTATAAACAATAATTATAATGTGCTGCTGATTTAGTTAATATAGTGATACAATTCTCAAAACGGCTATCATATAAAAAAGGGAATTTTCAAGAGTTATAACAATCACATTTCAATAAATTTGCCAAATGTTTTTAAAAACATCATCTAAATAACACCCCTTTCACACAAGATCCTTAGGGAAATACTGTTTGCCAAGATTTTTTTTGTTAAGTGGAACTGGTCATCTCTCATGCCCTTTCTCTAACATAGGAAGTACATTCTTTATCATAATCATGCAGTCCTAACTATGTATTCCCCACCACCATTGTGAGCTCTTAAAACAAGTCAGTATTTTAAATATTTTACAGTGCATTCAGATAAAAGATGATACAGATGTTGTTATATTTAAACAACAATGCTGCTGTTAGAGTGACTTGGGTGGATATGAGACTAGTGAATTTATCTATTATATGGAATGTAAAATTAATAGAATCTGTTAAGCTAGGATCAATAAAAAATTATTATTACTGGATAGCTAACCAGACATGAAAATAATCTAATTACATTAAACCAGACATTATCAGGATATTCACTGAAAAAAATTATATATGCATGTGTGCGCATACACAAACACATATACATATATAATAGGCTTATTAATGCAAGATACTTACTACTATTAATAATGTAGCTTGGAATCATTTTACCTTTTAAAATTGCTGCTGAAATTCCAATGGTAGCACAAACGGGGGGAAAAAGCAAAGGTATTAAAGAGTTACATAGAATAATATTACTTTGCCTATGTTTGATGTACTTAACTGCATGTATGTAGAAAAGATCTGAATTTAGAAAAAGGGCTGGGGGGGGAATCAGGTATGTAGGAGGATTTAAGAAGATAGAAAATCTGTTTTCATCTATACATCCTTATAGTCATATATTCTACTCACTCTACTGCCCTGAAATAGTTGACAATTCAAAGACTCTCAAAGAATAAAGCAATACAAGAAGAAAACACAACACTGATTAGGCTAGCATGAGATTACTGAAGAACTTTAAAAAAAAAATGTCCCATTTAAAAATCAATCAGTTTCCTATCAAACACTTTAGAGAATATAACAGCCTTACACAGGTATTTCTGGCAAATAAGAATGTTGGCTGCCATAGCAGACTCACAGCCTATGTCTCATGGCTCACTTTCCCTCACCTCTCTTCCATCTTTGGGTATAAAACTATTGAAAAAATACTAGTAAGACCTTGCCTTTATAGAGTAGAGGTAAAAGAGCTTTAAACTTACTGAGAGACATTTTGACCTAGAAAGGATTGTACACTCTCATGAATTAAGGCATGCTATCCTGTTCTTCAGGTACAGCCATTTGTAACTCTTATAACTTATGAATGTCTATGTGATTAGATCTCAATAAGGAGAAGCTGCTAGACATTTCTATCGCCTTTATCAAAACACTGATTATAGGTGGTTGGTGAGATCAAGTATTATTGTAATATATATATAGCACAATTCTATAGTATCTATCCTTACTCAGTATTTAAAAAAATGCAAGATGTAGTATCAATAAAACTGAATGATAGGGCTGGGGGTTTTTAGCCCAGTGGTGCCACTGCCTGCCTCACCAAGTGCAAGGTCCCAAGTTTGATCCCCGGCCAGTACCAAAAAACAAACAAAAAAAACTGAATGATGAACATTTCCCAATGTTAAAATGGCTTTCTTGATGTTGTATATTTATCTACTGGACAGAATTATGGCCAAAAATATAAATTACATATAAAATATAATTCTATAAGCATTATAATTCAGCATAGCAAATAAATATTTTACTATTCTTTATTACCAAAAAAAATTTATTTTGGAACTACCTTCTAAAAATTTTATCTGCTTTTCAGGGAACTGAAAGGTCCACTTTTATAACTCATTTTTGTAATCAAATTAGTAAAATAAATGCTAAGTTACATAAAAAATTCTTTTTACCCTTACCTCGATCTTTTGCTTTATCAGAAAGGAGCACTTCTACTTCTTCATACTCCCGGATGGCATCTAGTATGATACTTCCTTCTTTGCTGAATAGGAACAGCATGGGGATCTTGATGTCATCTGTGTCCTTTCCATCACCTGCCATCTGGAACAGAGGGGCAGTATCACTGCTGCTCCCCTCATTGTCGTCTAGCCAGAAAATGAACATAGCAAATATCAGGCCATCCAATCACTACAGACTTATCAATTGTTACTGCTTTTTACCTGTTGACAGAATTAATTTTATGCATCAAAAACAACAAAAACAAACATCACTAATTACAGAAACTTATCTTAAGGAATTAATTCAGCTGTATGCCCAAAGAACTTTACTGGAGTGCTATTTATGATTGTGAATGATTATAAACCATTATAATGCAGAGGAGCAGAGGCCCCCAGCGCAAAGTAGCTGAGCCTTTTGGGCCGCTGTACCACTGCCCCCATGCAGAGGAGCAGTGGCCCCTAGTGCTGAGTAGCTGACCCTTACGGGCCTCCTTACCACTGCCTGCAGTGCAGAGGAACAGAGCTCCCCCCACCCCCAGCACCAAGGAGGTGAGCCTTTCAGGTCGCCAAACCACTGCCCCCAGCCCAGAGGAGGTGAAGTTCGTGGGCACCAGCAGCACACACCCACCCTCAACCCCCCCACCCCCTTTGAAATGACAAGATACATAAACAATTTTCAAAACCAGATTTCCAGATCACCTAAAGCAAACCCAAAGGGAAACGAGATGGAACACTCTGATACTCAACCACCTGGACTCCCTGAAATAGCAACAAAACAGGATCTGGAAAAAATGAAATCAGAAATAGTTTCTTAGATAACAACAGAGATTGTGCCCATAGTACAAGACATGACTAATAAATCTAGAGAGGACACAGACAAAAAAATACAGGAGCTGAGGAACATGACAGAATCTCAACATAGGAAATAAATGGAATCCATAAAACAGATGCAAAAAGATTTCCAGGAGATTACAAACTTCATTGAAAGTTTACACAGCAGAATAACCCAATGTGAGGACAGAATTTCAGATATAGAAGATAAGATTGCATAATAGTGACCAGGAAAGGAAAAATTTCTTGAAAATAGGAAGGAAGCACTAGAAATCAATCCAGCAGCTGCTAGATGATGCAAACAAAAATAACATAAGACTGATCTGAGTCAATGAAGAAACAGGAGAAAGTGCAGACAACATAAAAAAACTGTTCACAGAAGTGATGGCAGAAAACTTCCCAAGCAGGAGAAGAGAACTTGACATACTGATAAGTGAGGCATATAGGACTTCAACTGGCCCTGATCAAAACAAAATTACACATAGGCATATAATTGTTAAGATGCCAGAAACTCAACAGAAAAACAAAATTCTATAAGCAGTTAGAGAAAAGAAACAAATCACATACAAATGAAAGCCCATCAGAATCACGGCAGACTTCTCAATGCAAACCCTCAGGGCAAGAAGAGCTTGGAGTAACGTATTTCAAGCCCAAAAGAAAAACAGCCTCCAGCTCAGATTGATGTACTCTGCAAAACTATCTTTCAAAACTGATGGAGAAATAAGATACTTTCATGACAAAAAGCACCTTAGGAACTTCATGAATATCCAACCAGCACTCCAAAAAATTTTAGACAATA